TTTAAAGGTGGAAAAAGTGAAGACATCCATATGTATGCAGATGTATGCTGTTTTGTCTAGAGACTGAATGAACCTATCAATCTTAGTCCAATTTTAAAAAGGAAATATCAGTGCATTTTTATAGCAAAATGCAATAACAATATGCGTAGCTATTTTTTATATTTAGTACCACGGAACATGAGCCATTGTAATGTGTATTATATCCAATAAAAGAACTGTTAATCTACACTTGTACGACTAACAAAACATGTACTTCAACACGGTTAAATGCTATTTTGGGTAAATGATATTGTAATTGAGTATCATAGACATGTGTTTAATGATTACTTCAGATAATACTTTGAACATCACGCACTTAAGATTAATCGAGTGTATGTGCACATAACATATGATAGTTTATTATGATACATTAAAATTCACATGTATGCATTTTTTCTAATGCCTCAATTATTATATAAATAAGTTGCTGGTATCGATTTTTGAGTATGGCATCAAACATTTGAGATTGTCGTTAGTTGTTTATGCTGTAGTCCCCGTTGCAGTATGCTTGCTATCATTTTTCATTGCAAACATTATATAATATCAGAATATCATATTCATTCATTGATATGTATAGCTAATTTCAGAAGAATGAAACATACACAATTATAGAAACAATCAAACTATTGTACAGTGATTATCTATAAAGTAGTTGTCAGTTTTTAACACAATCTCTTTTTATAATGTCAAACAAAAATTTATGTCATCGCGATCTTGTCCTGTATCACCACGTGGTACTATGAATAAAACCGGATTAAGTCCTTAGTACTATACAGGAACGTATATACCGTTGGAGTAAAGGCAAACTGCCTTTCAGAGGAAAAATGTTTAAAACATATTATCGTTCTAAATGTCATTACAATTTGTTTAACTATGTGTGTTTTTAAAGATATATTTTAAAAAATTAAGAAGACGGTGCAGCTTTAACTATTCGACACATCATACATAATGTTACATTTAAAATATGAACAGAACATTAAACAAAATCTATTCTATAAGAAATATCTACCTCATCTTAGGGTAAATTGACAATTATAGAAGGCAGAAAAGTACGTATATCAGAAAACGATAAGTAAAATTAAGAGTATCTGCAGAACAAATGTTGATGACTATTATGATATAAGTAAGTTTCAATTCTCACAACTTGTTTGGTCTGACAAAATATGAATGAAAAACCTTAGCTCCTTCAAATCGTGTTCTTACAATTCTTTTCAGAATATCAATCTTTTAATTGTAAATATTATGATTAATGTTATGGGGTTTCAACGCATCTTAAATTAATGTCAGTATGAATAGTGGGTTTCATTTCATATAGTGATTATGACATTTCTTTTAAATAAGATTAGAAATAAATTACTTTGTTTAGATGTTTACAATAAGAAACTAAACAAAAAGGTAATTAAAGTGTCGACACATTTTATTTTTAAACTTCAAATCCCACAATGACTTAATATACAGTTATACAACCACTGTCAACAAAAATGCACTTTAAAACTGTATGTAAGTAAAAACAAATAAATCAACCAAGTTCCTTACTGCTTTAAAAGGGCTGACGAAATTCAAATCGGTTACTATAGTATCGTTCACATTAAGTGAAGAAGCAATGCAGTGGGTATCTTTATCTAAATTAACACCGTGACACCGTGCTGATGAAAATATGGCTGTTTTCTTTTGTTGAATAAAATTTGTTCTTGGTATAAGATTTTTCGAAAATAACAGACTCTCTATCATAATTAAATACTTTCTTATAACTTTATTGGATATGAGTTAGATTCTTCAATATAGCATCAAAGACGTTTTAAATGTCTAGAACAAATTTTATTGCAAATACTTATCGGTACAGTCCTTCTGAGAAATAAACGACTCTTTAACATCATTATTATGTCCATTTGCTTAGCAAAATACAATTGCATCGATCTGCAAAGAAAGGCATACATCTTTGTTTAAAATCATACGTGAGCCGTATGTTCGGAATTCGCTAATAATATAACCCTTAACTCTATATAACGATATGACTTTTGTTATAATAGTTTAAAAACATAGCTAACACAATCGTAAGTGTTCAACAAGTGTTACCGAACGATCAAAGCTATCTTAAAAATCTAAAGAGTTGCTATAATTATATTGTTTTAATTTCCTAAAGAAGAAAAAAAAACACATATAGGAATCCTTTTGTAAATATATTAAATTTGTTAAGTTTAAAACTTAATAAAATTTGTTTCTCTGAAGTGTGTTTAGCTACGTCAAATAAACAAAACTGAAATTTACAATTGAGTATTTATTTTTATATATCGTACACACGAGATAATTAAGTGGTAGGCACGAGTTACTATGAGGTGCGAACGAGATAATTTAGTCGTACGCACGAGATAATTAACCAATCGGATTATACTATAATATATGCATGCTCTAAGTTAACTAGAAATGTGCTATAGGACCTGCTTCACCTGCCTGTCATAGTACCATATATATACAAGCTATTGATTGGACAATTGTGACCCGAATATTTGACCCAATTATCTCAAAAATATTAGGTGTCATCTACTGATCAGGTGCAATGTTCATACATTATAGCTCATAATACTGCACTTTTGGTCACGTGACCACAAAGGTCAATTTACACGGCCCAAATAGCTCGGCTGAGGTATGTTATTTAGTGATTATTTTCTCTCGAGCCGATTTAAATTTTGTTACATTGCCTACAGACCGCGGCATTTCTGATGCTTCCTAAACATGCATTTGGTGTCGTCTAACGTTTTGTTTTTCTGAGAACATTAAAATTTACAAATTTGTCGATGACATCGTACACACTCTTGTATAAAAGTATTGATAATAACAATATCCAATACAGCACGTCAGTGCTTAGTAGAATTACGTGTTTTGAAATGTATAAGGGAATGTTTTTTATGAAAAAATAACAGGTTTTCTGCTCCCCCATTTATTATCGTATTTATTTAAAAAAAATGGTCCAAGTTACAGAAATGTCAACGTACACGTACAGCCTAGAAAATATCAACGTATACACGCCCAATTTAGTTTGAAAGTGGTCTGAACAGGATGCTGCAACTTCGGAGTAGGTGGCTTTTTCCAACAAAAAGCTGGCTTTCTATTTAGATTGCCCTAAGTAATGTTTTCTTCAAAGGAAACAGTGCTTTAAGAAAATAAAATCCAGTTACTCAGACTGTTTGATGATTTGCTGAAACAGTCTTGCGGACTACTTTTTTCTTATTTCTGCCATTACACAAAATTTAAGGGAAAGTCTTTCAAATTGTAATGTCAAAAAAAGAGAGGAAAATGTTTGTAGTAAAGAGAAAATTCAAGTATTTTTTTTTTCTAAAAATACAGGATTTAGTTTTATTTTGTGGTATGAAAATTATAATATTTCACGCGTGGCTACTGCCACTCATAAAATATTTATTTTCATACTACTCATTTCATCTCATTCATATTCATCAATATTTCATTTATAAGAATATAATAAAAATATATGAGCCGCGTCACGACAAAACCAACGTAATGTGTTTGCGGCCAGCATGGATCCAGACCAGCCTGCGCATCTGCGCAGTCTGATCAGGATCCATGCTTTTCGCTATCAGTTTCTCTACTTGTAATATGGTTTGTAAGCGAACATCATGGATCCTGATCAGACTGCGCGGATGCGCAGGCTGGTCTGGATCCATGCTGGTCGCAAACACACTATGTTGGTTTTGTCATGGTGCGGCTCATATATTAGTAACTAGAATATATACATTACCAGCTTCTAGTGCAGTTGATGGAGCATATGAGGCTATTCCCATATATAATATCTGAAATATAAACATGTACATATATAGATGATATTGAATGAGTGTAGGTTCAATATTGAATATATTGAACGAGTTGAATAAATTTAGTAATAACATTACACGAATATTGTATTCTTTTATTAACATTTCCCAAATAAGAATTGTTTAAGGTGAAAAGAATCGGTCTAGTGTACTAAATAAAGTTACGGAGACATTTCACGGTGTTCGTAAACGCTTGATGAATGAACGAACGAACGACCAACTGACTGAAAGGACGAAGGAATGAACGAACGAATGAACGAACGAACGAACGAACGAACGAACGAACGAACGAACGAACGAACGAATGAATGAATGAATGAAACAGCGTACAAACAAAACAATGATACAAATAAAAAAAATTAAAAAAACAAGAGAAATTTGTGAACTTCGTCTGCGAAGGGGGAGCAAAACTTACAATTAAACAACAACAACAACATCAAGAAGAAAAATAATTTCGCTACAGTCGGTCTTCAAAATAATCATTTTCTTCTTTGTGATTTACAGAAAAATAATTGGACATTCGTAAATATTGTATATCGCAAATGATGTCACGTCAAAGTATATGCACGACCGTGCAATACCGATTTTAAGAAGTCGCAAAATCGGCACGGGTATGTGATAAATTACGTAATGCACAGCGGGCTATTTGTATTGTTTTATTTTATGTTATGTTTATTCAACAGTAGTACGGCACATTGTGCTAATCGTAATTATGTTCATGCTTATTTTTGTTTTTCGAATATTGCACGAAATATGTACTTTTAATGTGCAAATACAGTATGTACTTATACAAACAATACATTGACTATATAATGCTTGGTGTTGTTGTTTTTGTTTGTTGGTGGTGTTGTTTGTTGATGTTGTTGTTGTTATTGTTGTTGTTTCAAAACTAACTCACCTGTTGTACAATCATTATAAGGGTGCCTGTGAGTTTTGCGTATTTCGAATTAAACCGCAGCTCCAAATACTGAAACAAAATAAGAACATTTGTCGGGAAATAACAGATGACAGAATTAAAACGTAGCTCCAAATACTGAAATAAAATAAGAAAAATTGTCCAAAAATAATAAATGACAGAATTAAACTGCAGCTCTAAATACTGAAATAAAATAAGAACATTTAAATGTCCAGAAATAATAAATGACAGAACTAAACCGCAGCTTCAAATAATGAAATAAAATAAGAACATTTGTCCAGAAATAATAAATGACAGAATTTAACCGCAGCTCCAAATACTGAAATAAAATAAGAACATTTAAATGTCCAGAAATAATAAATGACAGAATTAAACCGCAGCTACAAATAATGAAATAAAATAAGAACAGTTGAATGTCCAGAAATAAAAAATGACAGAATTAAACCGCAGCTACAAATACTGAAATAAAATAAGTACATTTGTCGGTAAATAACAGATGACAGAATTTAACCGCAGCTCCAAATACTGAAATAAAATAATAACATTTGATGTCCTGAAATAATAGATGACAGAATTTAACCGCAGCTTTAAATACTGAAATAAAATAAGAACATTTATCGGGATATAATAGAAGACGGAATTAAACCGCAGCTCCAAATACTGAAATAAAATAAGAACATTTGAATGTCCAGAAATAATAAATGACAGAATTAAACCGCAGCTACAAATACTGAAATAAAATAAGAACATTTGAATGTCCAGAAATAATAAATGACAGAATTAAACCGCAGCTACAAATACTGAAATAAAATAAGAACATTTGAATGTCCAGAAATAATAAATGACAGAATTAAACCGCAGCTACAAATACTGAAATAAAATAAGTACATTTGTCGGGAAATAATAGATGACAGAATTAAACCGCTACTCCAGATTCTGAAATAAAATAAGTACATTTGTCGGGAAATTATAGGTGACAAATTAAACCGCAGCTCCAAATACTGAAATAAAATAAGAACATTTGTCAAGAAATAATAGAATTCGTTAAGCCGAAGCTCCAAAATTGAAATAAAATAAGAACATTTGTCGGGGAAAAATAGAAGACGGAATTAAACCGCAGCTCCAAATACTGAAATAAAATATGAACATTTGTCGGGGAATAACAGATGACAGAAGCAACAAGAAGTATCTTTAAAAAGATACTCGGACGAGGTAACCCGCATGTCAATAAGTTAGTCCATGACATTTTCTTGTCCGCTTCGTAACTTTTAAGCTGCTGAAAACTGTGTAAAAACTTAGTTTTAAATTTTCTTATGTTTCTTATGAAGATTGTTATTATTAAATAATGGCTTCTATAAGATTCTGCTTTCGGCTAAAATCTATAATTATTGTTATGTTATTATTTACACATGTACACATATTCTAAATTAGAATATTTGTAAAATATGTTTAAACCAAATTAATTCGTAACTGTGAAGGTGGACGAGAATTTTTGGAGATAAAATCTTACCTCAAAGCTGCTGGTTAGTGTCAGTGGATACAGAAGTGGTACGAACAATATTGTGGACAGAATAATTGCGAGGATCATTCCAAGGAGGTAGGTAAAGTATAAAGTTCCTGCGGTGTACATTTCCGCTGGCGTTCCTAGAATCAAAATGGCCGACATAAATGACACAAGAATGCTGACAGCAACCGGAAATAATTGCATATTCCTACCTCCCATCAGGAACTCTCCAGTTGTATTTTTCTTTTCACTGCAGAATTCTTTGACAGCATAGAATATACCGATTCCCGCGGATACAGCAAGCATAGCGGCGAATAACACCCAGTCCCATGTTTCAAAATTCCTGACTTCGTCATCAGCCATAATTTTATTCACTTATTTGAAATAATAATCTATTAACTGGTAATTGTTAGCGGCTAATTTAAGAAACACAGAAATCCGTCACTACGGTTATTTATACATCCGTATAGGGTTTTAATATTTTAATACTGTATCCTCGAATGCACTTCGGTATGAAACATCATGTTACATATATTCGTGGTTTAAATCTTTAAGTAGTTAACCAAAGTGAGACGCATCATTAAGTTTCAACATAATTCGTATCTAACGAACGAGGGACGTCTAAGAAGTTCGGGGAAGTTCAAACAAGGAGCAAAGTCGTGCTCTATAACAAAGAGCGGAGTCATGGTCTATAACAAGGAGCTAAGTCGTGGTCTATAAGATGAAGCGAAGACGAGGTCTATATCAAAGAGCGAAGCTGTGGTCTATAACAAGAAGCGAAGCCGTGGTCTATAACAAGGAACGAAGCCGTGGTCTATAACAAGGAGCAGAGCCGTGGTCTATAACAAGAAGCGAAGCCGTGGTCTATAACAAGGAAGCGAAGCCGTGGTCTATAACAAGGAGCGAAGCCGTGGTCTATAACAAGAAGCGAAGCCGTGGTCTATAACAAGGAGCGAAGCCCGTGGTCTATAACAAGGAACGAAGCCGTGGTCTGTAACAAGGAGCAAATCCGTGGTCTATAACAAGGAGCAAAGCCGATGTCTATAACAAGGAACAGAGCTGTGGTCTATCAGTGACGCACTGGGCAAGTAATCCAGGGATGGCAGGTTCGCCTCCCCCACGCCTGCCAACACTTATAAATGGCCTTTTGGATGAGATCTTAAAATAGATGTTCAAGGCTCTACATCGGGCATGTAAAAAAATCAGGTGCCATGTTCTCAGAGGAAAGATCAAGTGATCCTGATTGTATATTCATTCTTTTTTAAAACTAAAGTTGATCGTGTTTTTGCTAGAATTGAATGGTACATAAAGATGATGTAAAATTTTGCTTATTTTCAATGAAACAAATGTTTGGAAAAACCGAAAGAAATACAAAAAAAATCGGATCCAAATAACGATCAATTTTAGGATCAATATCAATATTTAGATCAACAGTTAAATTCATGTATATAGTTGTTTTGTCAATTCAGCTGAACTTGACGTTGAAAAATTGAGAATAATGCTACTTTATATAACGAAAACCCTAGAACTTCAAAGACAACCCTCGTATAGAAAGACGCTGTCCATATAGCACGTATATAATGATCACGATGTAGTGTTTGCAAGTAGCGACTTTGAGTTATTTACACATAATAAATTTCGAATATTTACGATATGTGACATCTATGTTATGATAACTGAACGTCAGCTCAAGAAGGCAATATAAAACTTAATCAAGGTTTTGTGTAAATACGACGTTGTAAAACAGACGTGTTTATTCCCACTCAGGTTATCGTCGGGAATTTTTTGCTTTGTTCCATGTTTTTTTTATTCTTCCTGTATACAGAACGTACACATTGCTAATTAAAGGCTCACTATCCCTAAAAAAAAAACGCATTTATTTCCTTTTTTTCAAAAGCTTTTACGTGTCCTGTGTTAGTTTAAAAAAAAATACTTATTGGCTAGTTAGCTACATCATCTTTTTCTACTGTTGCCACTTTGTTTACTTTTGCTTCTTTTATGAGAGATAATTGGCGCTACTTTCTATCATAGGAATTTAACATGCTCTAAAACCATCTTTGACGTAATAAAACTCATGTTTGCTATTTTTAAAGAAGGAAAAATATATTTCTGAGGCATAATGTGCCTTTAAGGTAGTTAGGTGAACATCTGTGTTAATGACTTTTTTCAAGTATTTAAACAAAAACCAAAGCAAAAAAAATCTTTAAATTAAAAGTGCATGTGATTGAGTGAAGCAAGATAATTTGATTTTTATTTTAAAGAAACTCCTCTGAGAGCCAGAAATTTTAATTATTTCATATATTAAATTGGGCACTTAAAGCAAAAGGATATGCAAAAATGTTTTTTTTTTAAATATACTCAGAAATGAATTGAAAATCGTTTTCTTGTGTTATTCCTAGCCTGATTTGAGTGAAAAGCCTTGTAACGCTTTTTGGATCATATTGTACAACAAAAACTAATACCAAAAGTAGTTAGCGAATTATGTAAAATTTTGAAAAATTGAAAGTTATTCGATCTATATCAAATGAAATATTAAACTCGAAAATTTTTATTCAATCCCATTATGTCAAAAATATCAGCGGATTACCTTCAAAACGAAACGTTATTTACAATACATGCAACAGCTTTTGTCTAAATTTTGACATTTGTCACCATTCTTTCATTTTGATTTGTCCACTTCAGACACATTTTCTTATTACGGCATGGACATTTGGAACAATATACCTTTAAATATTCGTTATGTTAATTAAAGAAAAATACAAATCATATCTTGATGTATGAATAAGTGAGTGTGTGAATGAATGAATGAATGAATGAATAAATGAACAAACGAATGAAAGCAACGAACGAATGATGCAATATAGACCTTTTTACAATACGATTTTTCCATAGCAACCGATGTTTCATTTCGCGCATGTGCATTCTGCGTAGGGCAAAAGCGCAATAACGATAGACTACATTTAGCGTTCTTGAAGGCTATAAAAGACGTGATTATAAGTTTTGTCACCCAGAATGTTTGTGATGAATTAAAGCGGTAAGTACTTCAAACGTGAATAAATATTTATTACAGATATACAAAGTTAGCGGGATTAATAATTCAATGACCAAAAATCCTGTTCAATGTATCATACAATGACTTTTTCATCAGTAATTTAAATTGAAACAGCAGGGTGACTGCTTAATTGTTATTTGCCAGCTATAGTTTTCAGTATCATTCAACCGGGACGTTTATAGTACCATATGACATAGTTCATGACATAAAATTATAAAATTATCGTAATTTAAGTTACTTTTTAAGTTTATACCATCAATGATTATTAATTTTGTGAAGTGACAATCAAATAGAGTACGTGGCGTGCATTTTAATGTTTTACGAGAAACCGGATAAAATGTGTGTTATTTCATAACCCATCTTAACCTATCAAGAGTTTGAAACATTATTTAAATATATCTATGTGTGTTAAAAAGTTTCTGCTTGGCATCACAGTCAAGTCGGATAAAGGATAGTATTAGGTAAGCTGAAAACTAAAAATGCATTAATTATCACGTGTTCCAACTTATTTTCAGAATAATAATAAACCTCTATTTTATATGTTATAAAATTTCTTTAGTTTTTATAAGAACAATTTCAACAACAATTAATTTTATTTGATAATATATATATTTCGACAACTTTCTACAACAATTATCTCATTGTCATGTCTGTGATCGTAAGGGGGATTTCTTAAACAATCGTCATTTCCGTGCCATTTTGTGTCAATTTTTGCCACAAAGCTATACATGTATCTTTCATGTTTGTTTAAAAAGCTATTTTATATGATTTCTTAATTTTTACCTTAAACTAACTCGGAATTATCTATGAACTTCTACTACATTTCTATGTAGGGCAACGTTTTTTTTGCCCTACGCAGATTGCGCATGCGCGAGAAAATACTACTTCCGGTCAATTTTTCATAGCAACGGACCGCGTCGTAAAAATGTCTTTACGTACATGTATATGTTTGAACAAATTGTTGAGTCTCTGTCGAAAGTATATGAGTTGTCTTATGCTAAAAATTACATAGTATACATTCATTTTTCTACCTATGCATGTCATGTTGTTGTTGTTTTCTATTTCAGAAGGCCACATTGGAAATAAGATATATATGATTGCTATTGTATGTTCTTAATGTGTAACCTTCTTTAAATAAAGATATTATTATTATTAATATTATTATAATAATAATAATTATTATTATTATAAAAGAAAAATGTAGATCTGAACTTTAAATAAATAAGGAACGTTGCAAAGCCTTTAACTCAACCCGGGCTAAACTCAATGGGATTTTTAATTAAACTAATTAAACTCTGAGTATATTTCTTTATTATCTTTTGCATATTTTTTCCGTTTTTTTTAATGGCTTGCTTGATCTATGCAATATTGTCATTTTTATTTAGGCAGTTTTCTTTTGACCTCTTTAATGTCTCTAGGTTACATCTAAAAATCTTTTAGTCCCGAGGAAAGAGCGTTTTTATGAGTGTGCTCCAACAGTTAAATAATAGCAAGAGCTCATTAATGACTTCATAATTCAAATTTGTGTTTTTTATTGGAAAGTTAATATAGATAAATTGGAGATGGATTTTAATGTTGCGATTTCAACAGTGTAAATGTACACAGCTGTGAATAAGTTAATGTATAATCATAACATTTAAGTCTATACATGTTTGAAATGATCAAAGTTGCAAGCGCCATACTGTAGGGGTACTTTTTTTTACTTGCCATTGAGACCCCTGAAATGATACCATTTTGAATAATAATACAAACATCATTAAGGGAAGAAACAACAACAATTAAACTGTGCTTATGTCATTTATTAAATTAATAAATGACGATTCAACAAAATTGACAAATATAGTCGGATAGGAAAAACACTAAAATGTAATAACATATTTACACAATGACTTAACAATATAATTAACCCAGCCAATATACCATATACATAATATGTAATAGAGAAGGTGTCTATAACTATGGGTGTGAATATTTGCTCCAAATGTACATTTTAAAATAATCGTTATATATCTATCATAAATTGTTTCTTTTTTCTTAAACAATTCTTGAAAGTCTTTCATATTTCTTGAATGAATATATCTATTGAATATTAATTTTAATATCTATAGCTTGATAGTTTTACTCATAACAACTCATAACAAATCATACTGGGCTGACATGCTATGTATATACGATATAGACATAGATCTTGTTTGAAGAGCAATAGGAGTATTAACCACCTTGACAAAATGTATAAGAGTAGGTATCCATTAACAAAAGCTATGTTGCAGTTTTCTTGATTACGAGCAGAAATGTCCATTTACATTATTATAACAAAATGACGATGTGTATAAAATTTTGATTTTTATAAATCATGAATAACACATACAATATATGAGATAATCTTAAATTGAATTGAAGCATTATAAAGTAAGCAAGCTACTTAAAGCAATTTAAAGGTTTATTTTTTATTGTACTAAAATTTAAATCAAATGATTTCAAGTTCTTCACAGAAAGTTCATTTAGACGTTATGCTGGTCAGAGACTTTAGATTTTTTATATGAAAAGAGTCTGACAGTTGTGGCACAATTTCTAGATCGTCTCACTATTTGTTTATTGAACGATTTTCATCTAAAATTAGTTACCACAATGTGATTGGAAATTGGTCAACTATTAACTCTACACAAACTTGACATTTTCACATTATTCGTGTTGTCTATACAATTTTTTATTGTTCTATAAATACGGATGTACATGATATACATGTAGAAATGAAGTTACTTAT